GGCACAACAAGGTATTCATTAAATACCGACATTCCTAATATTTAAGTGTAAGACTTAGCTTGAGGGCCCAACAAGGTATTCATTAAATATGGACCTCACTATTACTTAACTGTAAGACTCAGCTTGAGGGCACAACAAGGTATTCATTAAATACCGACATTCCTAATACTAAAGTGTAAGACTTAGCTTGAGGGCACAACAAGGTATTCATTAAATACCGACATTCCTAATATTTAAGTGTAAGACTTAGCTTGAGGGCACAACAAGGTATTCATTAAATACCGACATTCCTAATATTTAAGTGTAAGACTTAGCTTGAGGGCACAACAAGGTATTCATTAAATATGGACCTTACTATTACTTAACTGTAAGACTCAGCTTGAGGGCACAACAAGGTATTCATTAAATATGGACATTCCTAATACTAAAGTGTAAGACTCAGCTTGAGGGAACTTACTAAAATAAATAATAAATAGATGCATTACAAAAGTATGAATAAATACAAAAATCCACAATGATAGAGACTGGATAAGTTTTTCCAGATTGTAGCTGATTGTGGTAAGAATGTCACAACCAAGAAAATAAACTACAGAGAATGCTGACCAAGCATATTCTAATTGCAACAATTTAAACCTTGTACTTACTTACCCTGGGCCTGGCATGGTTAGGGCGCTCAACTTACAATCTGCTGGTCTCGGGTTTGAATCCCTGTCCCACCAAAAATGCTTGCCCTTTCAGCCATGGGGGCATTATAGTGTGATGGTCAATCTCACTTTTCATTGGCAAAAGAGTAGCCCAAGAGTTTGTGGTGGGTGGTGATGGCTAGCTGCCTTCCCTTTAGTCTTTCACTGCTAATTTAGGAATGGTTAGTACAGATAATTCATAACAAACAAACATTATTCACTCCTGCTGGTTGACTATATAACTATACAGGATAGGCTAATTAATGTTTCTTTTTATTTGACACATCTATTACCACTAAAAACTATTCTTACTTACAATGATAAGAGCAATATTTACTTACACAAGTATATTATATATTTCATATTATGTGCTTTTCCTTACTAGACAATTTCAATTGACATTTCACAATAACATTGAAAATAAATAATTAACTTTTATACCAATATAGCCATTAAAAACAACTGAAAGTTAATCTTGATTAAACAAAACAATGCATATTTCGAAATAACTTTTTATATAAAGTTAATAAACTTTATTATATAAAACAAATAAAAGATTTTAAAGATTACAACTACTTTTGTACATAAGCCTACAACTGACTGATGATGATGTAGCCCTATTTGTGAAGTGTTTTATTTATTGAAATATGTTTATTAATTTTACATAATAAGTTCTTTGAAAGTGTGTTTTTCAGAAGAGTACTATGTTATTTAAAGAAATATATATTTTAACTAAAAGGTTCTTATTAAAATAATATGTGAGGTCTTTTAATCCAAATAGATAAGTGGATGAAGGGTTATATATATATATATTTATGTATTGATGGATTGCTTTTTTGCTAAAAATTTTTGTTGAGTATTTATAAATATAGTTTATAAAATCATTGAAAGAAGGCTTTCTTCAATGATACAAACAGATTAGTAAGATATTAATATTTTATACCAGTGTATAGTTGTTTAAAATGTTTTGTGTGGTGTGCAATTTTAGAGAACAGTAGAAGTAGAAAGACCAATAGGAAAACATAATAGGTTTTGGTTTTGTTGCTTTGATTGAGTGTTTCCTTTGTCTTGCCTGTATAGGTAAAGGAAAGATATATCTATAATTGAACAGTGACTCATTATTTATGACTTGCTATTTATAAGTACTATGTACTTTATTATAATTTCTGTGTATTTGTACATGCATGAAAATTTTTTTTCTTGTTGTCAAGCATTATTGCTAGCTACTGTTTGTGTTATTTTGTATGTATGTTTCAAGCACGAATTTTTTCTGTGCGTGTCGCCCTTGAGTATTATAACTAGAAAGTTTTTCTTAAAATGTTAACACTATCTACCCCTGAAGAGCTACATAATGTCCTGTTTTCTCATAGTATGTTACTGTTAAATTTAATGTATGTTATATTCATCTTGCATGATTAAGAAAAGAGTCTAATGTGTATCTGCATCTTGGTTATGCATGTTTAGGGACCGTTGGGTTTACCAGGAATGCCAGGTCATGATGGAGTCAAAGTAAGCAATCATGGTTTTTATATGCAATGTATCAGCTGATGCTGCATAGGTTCTTGTTAAATGTAATTAGATATATTAATAGTTGCTTTAAACAAACTAGAATGTTTTATGTTTGTGTTAGTATACCAGCATGGATGATTATAATTCGTAATATAACTAGATAAACTACTACTGGCATAAATGAGTTAAGCTGTACAGTAAAGTTCATCTTATGAAAATTAAAACTGTTAGCTTCTGTAAAAATACAAATGTTATTAGAATTCCAGTTTTAACAATGAATAGCAATTAGTAGTATAGTTGTCCACTTGACGTCTCTGAAAGGACCCTTTCTCTATGTCAATAATCTTTTTTTCATCTGGTAGTCATTCTTTTTATTTTTCTCTGAATAATACAAATATTCATAGATGTTTAACCATTAACAATTTTGCACTAACATATTCAAAGCTAGGGTATTCACCCTATGTACAGTAAGCTTTATATAAACTAGGTAAGTATACTTTTATACATGGCAAAAGCAAAAAATTAACTAGAGTAATGCATACTGTAGTTTTGAAAATAAATGTAGTGTAAAAGGCATTGAAGGACTGGTAATCTAGACCTAAAATGTTGATTTGTAGGCTACAAATAAATACACATATCCCTTACAGTGAAATTTCTTCACAATATCGTTAATTAAACATTATTGACATTTTTAAGCTCTTCTTTCTTTGTTATATTAGAACAGTGTGCCACTGAAATTTCTATTTGTATTTTGTCAAATAATTCATGAAATTGTATGTTTCAATTGTTTTTAGGTACTTGTACATGCTTTATTTAGTGTATATATGTTTTTTAACTTTTAATTAGATTTGTTTTATGTTTAATGTCAAGATTTCGAATTTTTATGCTTTTTATTTAAAAAACTTTTTTAGCATCCAATATCTCTCTAAACTCTTTAATTTATTTTTTAGTTGGAATATGTGCTTTGAATGAGATAGATAATATTGGCCTTGCTCGAAAAACTTAACAATTTTAAAGCAGGTAGTTTCCAGAAAATGGTTTATAATGTGAAAAAAATTGACTGCATGATGCTATACATTTCTGTTTTAACTTTTACATAAAATAATACAATAAAAGAATATATAAGATAGAGGATGTACTGTTTTCTACATAAATAAATTACTAAACAAGAGAAACTTAGGATATATTTGAAACATATGTTGCAAAAAAATATATTTATTTTTCATTTTTCTTTCTCAAGGGTCAAAAAGGAGATAAGGTAAGTGAATTAAATTTTTCATTTCTTCTAAATTTGTAATATTTAGTTCACAGAATCAATAAACTTTCAATGAATTAACTTGAAGGTTAATATATACACACACACACACACATACATTCATAACTTTGTCAGACTTGACATAGTTTGCTTGGTATCTTTCTTTACTATAATATAAATAAATAAAATAATTTTACATCTCTGTCACATCATTACAGTTTAAAAAACTAACAACTTAGTAGAACAGCTTATAAAATACATTCCACAAAACAATTAAAGAATAATTGTATTTTGTGTTAATTTAATTGTAACAATGGAAAACCACTGGTATAAAATAATTTCAATCACTTCCTGAATTCATCTTTATACAGATCAGGTATCTGATGTTTTGTTAATCATGTTATCTAAAATGCATATGATTGGTTAATTAACCTACATTTATAAATGACCATTTAGTAGAGGTTGTTTTACAAATTGTGGTGTTTGAAATCATAGTGTTCATACTATCCCCAACCATTCCTCTAAAAGATCTGTTTCCAGGGTATCTTCAGCATCTGGAATCACTTGAAAGAATACTAAACGTGTTCCAATAGGATCTCATACATACTTGATAGGAATGGAGTTCAGTGATCATATAGGCCACTCCTTTCTCTCTATCAATCTCCTGTGCTTAAAGGAATATGTCAACTAATTTAGCACAGTATGAGTGTCATTATCATTCATGAATCTGAAGCCAGGGTCAATTGCTCCAGCATATGACAGTAAAAGTGTCAAAGATGTGGTCTGCATAAAATATGGAATTAATAATACTATTACAAACTGTATAGCATTTGATATATTCACTAGTGTTTAATTCTTCCCATATCATACTTCTACCACTGCCATATACTAGAGTTGAGTGATTAGTGGAATTTGTTAATTGATTAACTTTTCGCTCATTAATAGATTACATTCAACTAATCAATTATTCTCACATACAACTTGAATCATTGGTATAATTTGAAACTCCAATTTGGATGAGTTAATTATTTTCATAGCATTAATGAATTTAATCATAATTATAATTAATTGATTTTTTGACATAACTCTCTAATGTTATCAATGCCCATAGATAGTTGAGTTAATCTTCCGGCACTACCATACACATTGTGTTACTGTATGAAAATGGAGTGGTATCTAGTTACATAATATTGCTTCACAGGTTGGTCTGGTGGATGTTTTCTTGACACTGTTGCAGGTAAGCTGTCTTGTGTGTTGCCATGAGCAAATTTACCTCATTGGATATGTAGTGGTCATATGCTTGTTTGTGGATGATGACATGTCTTTTTCCATTCATCCTATGGCTTTCAAATGATTAAAACATCTAAATGTCTTTCTTGAGATCAGGTTAAGGTTCGTAAATAGTATGGAACATTTTAAACTTGGGGACTCACTAAATGACAATTAAGACAAATATTTCTAAGGTCATTCAGTGGCAGCTCACAGCTAATATTGAGGAGGAGGTTGGTGATATTTTAACCCCAACCCCCAAACCAGAGAAAAGTAAAATGGGTACTTACTTTAGGTCTCAATATATTTATACTTGAATTCAAGTCAGTGGTCTTTTATTGCTATAAAAATGTTTGTAATATTGTTGTGTCAGGCAAGGTCTGACTGTTGTTCAAACTGTGAAACTTTGAAACAACCTCCAAATCAAGAAAATTTGTGGCACTCTTTTAAGAAAGTCTCTGTACATCATTCAATGAAATTTACTTATAATTGTTTAGAGCCTCAAAAACACCAAATAATCACAATATTATGCAATTTTTACTAGTCTGTGATCATTGCAACCTTGCAAGCCTTGCATGTTCCTCATGATTGCAAACTTTTCTTTAAATGATTTTCATTGATTGTTTTTAAATCCTAGATTCAGATTGACTCCATTAGCTGTGTGGCTGGCCTCATAATCCTTGTTAAACTTGGTAAGAAGTCTTGGCTCTTCTTGACTGTTTCCATTGCAGTTGACTCCATTAGCTGTGTGGCTGGCCTCATAATCCTTGTTAAACTTGGTAAGAAGTCTTGGCTCTTCTTGACTGTTTCCATTGCAGTTGACTCCATTAGCTGTGTGGCTGGCCTCATAATCCTTGTTAAACTTGGTAAGAAGTTTTGGCTTTTCTTGACTGTTTCCATTGCAGTTGACTCCATTAG